GGAGGGCGGCGAGTTCAATGAAACTTGAGGAATTTAGAAATTGTTCTGAACTTCTCATTTTGCTTCTGCACTACTGTCAGTCTACATTACGAACTGCGGCTTTATATGATATAAACTTTGATTAGACTTTGATTAAACTTTGATAGAGACTTTGATTAATAGTACTGTATGCAGAAGCCAGAACAAACCCCCCCAGGGGCTGATGAAGAAAAAAATGTCAAGTGCTGACTAGCCAGCATAATATGCAGTAAACAGGAATGAGAAGCTAATCTATAATTTAAACAATGTGTTAATTAATATAGCATAAATAACAAAACCTGTGGTAAATCCAGGGAGTAATCTTGTCTATCTGCTCATCTAGAAGGAGCTAGAACACCATGCCCTTGAGTAAGACAACAGTAACTGTATGCTAACGGAGTCTTTTTCCAATCAGATGACCAGCAGGACTTTTTGCTTGCTGGTTTTTACTAATTTTAAGATGGGAAGTCTTTCTAAAATCAAACAGCATAGTGGGAAAATCGAAGGAAGTAAAGGACAGTGCCAAGGGATGACTGCCAGACTGCGGGTGCGATGCCAAGAGGTGCCACAGGAAGAGACAGCCCTGACCTTCCCTACCCACCCTGATGCTGTGTCCCCCCTGCCTCCCCAGGGCCGGCACTACCAGTTGTGTGACACCCCCTTGCCCCAGGGAGTCCAACTGGAGCCCGTTGACCCTCAACCAAGTTAGCAATGGGGAAAATAAAAGTGCTCAAGGGACCCAGCGGGCAGCCACGAGAATGCCAGTGATGTGATGGGAACACGCAGCTTGGGTGAGGTGCTGGCAGGAATTTCCATGATTAAACCAGAGATTTTCAGGGGCAGCCTGCAGGTAGGTTGGCTTCAAGTGACTGCAGAATAAGTCCCCTGAGCCGATTTGCCAGTCCAGGTCTGTCTATCACTTTGTCAGTCCTAAGACCTGTCAAGCCAGCCCAGCAAATGTAGTGAGATGTGGCCATGATGCTGGATGTCCAGAGACCCAACCAGGGAAGAGTCTTGTAGCCTTTACACTGATCTCACTGTGTCACCAAATCTGCTTAACCCTTAGTCTGTGGCAGTTTATTGTGGAAGTGTGTTTTCATAGCAAAGACTGTGAAACCTGTTTACTAAATGGCTTGAAGGGTGGAGGCATATTTAAGGGAATTACGTGCAGCCTTCTGGATTTATTGTGGTAATCCAATAATCCAATCACTTTCAACTCTGGTATTTTGGTTCCACGTGACTCTGAGGTAGATCCAGTGCAGGACCTGGCTGCGCAGCCCTGGGAGCAGAACTGAAAACAGGGGGTGAAGGGCCCATGTCCCCGAGGAGTTTCAGGTGGTAGGTGTATGTAGGCCAGCACTGGGATCAGTTAGCCCACCCTGGCCTCCAGGCTACTGCTGTTAGACCATTTCTGGTAGCTGAACTAAGCTCACCCGCAGAAGGTTCAGACACTTCTGTCCACATGTATGCGCTTATGCGAACAGATGGATATAGGGTGAGCACCAGTGGACCTTCTGCCATTGCTCCCCCCATATGCAGAGCTGCCCCATTCCTCATAGAGTTCCCACCTAGAAGAGGCCTGGTGAAGCCAGTGACCCCCACCATGAAGCTGCTTAGGACATGATTTTTCTACGGAGTAACTAGGAGAGAGGATTAAAACCAACCAAACAAAAGCAATGCAGTTTGGAGGTGCAGCTGGCTCTGCAGAGAAGTTGCTGTGGGAGTTCTGCGCTCAAAGGACGTGAAGGGAAAGGAATTGAAACAGACTCCCACGAGGAAAAGACTGAGGAATTACTTATCTTCAAGGCACATCTGTCTGTTAAGAGAGTGGGTATTTCTCCAAACCTAAAGGAACCACCAGGGTGGAAAAGGTGGAGGTAACAGGGGGATTAGCATAGCTCCAGCTTAGTCCAGCGTCATACTGAAGTTGTTTGTCTTCTTGAGGAATTAGCACTGAGAAATCATCAGCTTCCCCCATAAGCGGTTTCACTCCTTCCGCTCTGGGAGAGATCTGGCTGCTTGTTGTAGGCAGGTGAAGAAAGATCATTGCCTCTAATTGTGCCCGTTTCGACCAAATCTTAAAGAAGAATCAGATTTTTAGATAGTAATTTAGATACTGGTTTATCGAGACTCAGACTTCGTTGGGTGCCAGCGCAGAAGAGCGATGCCACTCCACAGGGACTGTCCATGGCCTCCCGCGCCAGCAACGCTCCGCTGCAGCAGGCACAGTACACCAGTACACAACCCCTGCCAGACGTTTACTTTGCAGGTTTTTAGTTCGTGCTTGGGGAGCCCAGGCAAGCGCTAAAGGATCCTTGTGGCGCATCCTGTGGGCTTTTGAAGGGGCCCTCACTGCAGCGGATGGAACACTGACACGGAAGGGTTTGCACACATCGCGCAGTATTTTTCTTGACCGTCATAAGGATGTCTGTACGTGCCTGTATGATTTCATACCTTGATTAGCAGGGCTTAGGGACTGAAATAAGAAATAATCCACACCTAGCCAACACCCATTATAAAATGGGGAATCTTCAATCACACTGACAGCGTTCTCCTGTTGGGAATGATGCTGTTTTGGTGCATTTGGAACAGAAAAGATACAATTTCATGAATAATTTTAACAGTTTTTCTTGCAGGCATTAATGGCTTCATATTAGAAATACCCTGCTTATAGACCAAGACATTTCCAGTATCATTCATTTCCCATGCCAAATTTGTGGTCTGTGTGATGGAAGTATACTTTTAAGAACGTGGACCAGCGATGGCACTTATCCATTGTCCTGATAACTTTGTCCTGCGGGACAGAGAACTGAAGTACAATAAAAAAACCAAGTAGCATTCTCTAAATAAAGGAAATCAATCAAACACTCTGTTTATTGATCCATGTTAGAAATCTCTGTAACAGGCTCAGTGAGTGGACAACTAGCTGAAGCACATACCTCATGGCTGGGCCTTTTAAAACGCCCAGTTGTATAGCATGGTAACACTGACAGAAATTACGCTCCCCTTATGCGGCCTCACAGCAAATCTACCGTCCTATAGTGCAATGCATTATCCTTAACATTTCTTTAAAAAAGGAGCAAGAAGAGAAAAAAGGATTTTCACAGCTGGCAATGTACTACAACATATTAGCTTTCATCAGGGGAATATAATGGTACTACTGTTTAAGAAAATGCTACAACCTTGTTTAATTTTCTTAGATTTTTTTAAATGGAGCCTTTTCTCCCTGGAAGATGGAATAAAATGGGGGAAGAGAGGATACGTAAATATTTTCAGCCTTCTCAGCTGAAATCCATAATTATAGTTTTATTCCTTTCTGGTTTCTGATACATAGATTCCACAGAGCTGATTGCAGGCTTCAGGAACCACTTTTGCCTTTTAAATTGAAGCATTTCAGGTTTTCTCTAATTAACAACCACTTGCAGAGCACATCACAGGCTTAGTGCCTACTCACCAGCCACATTTCTCATAGACAGATCTGTTATTGCACTAAAATGAGGGCAAGAGGCCTTCTGTATTAATAGTTTATGAAGACAGCTAAATTACAGCTGACCATACGGTATTCTGGCTATGTTCTTCTCCTAAGCCTCTCTCTGGAGTCTTTTTCTGGGGGGACAAAGCTTCTTGAAGTGGTAATACCTTCTCCTGAATGATAACAGTTTGGACTGGTTGGTGTGGGGCAGCACCATTTTGAGAAATAGCTGTAGGAAGTGCTTAGGCAACCTTGCTTGTACAGAGCACCAACTAATTAAAATAGAAACTTTGGTTTTCTTTTCCCCTTAAGGTGACAGAGTTTTAGATCTAAAGAAACAAAACCCCCAAAAACAGAGGAAGCAGGACAGCTGTTATTAGACATCAGTTCAAAGGGGAGGTAAATGAAAAAGTCTCTGATTTATCCACAGGAAACTACCCGGGATCAAGGTCTTCACACAGTTACCAACTTTGTTCCCAGCCCTTTTTCACCCCATCAGTCTCACTCTGTGTTACTCATAATGAGCTAACTAGACCTAGAGCTTCTTGGAGGAAGGTGCTGTCCCAGTTTTACCTTGTACGGTGGCAAGCACAGGAGTTGTTTCTTAAAAATAAATGTCAAAACCTCTGCATTTCCTTCCTCCCTCTATCCCTTTGCTCCTTCTCCCTTCAATCCTCATTGCCTCATGACGTTTGTGTCACCTTCTGGATCCCAAGTTCTCATTCACCTCATTCCTTTGCCAATAATTTCTGCCCAGGTGCAGCCATAAGGCAAAACAACGGTGCAACATGAAAGGAAAGCTGTCAGGCAACCCAAAGCAGCATCAACAAAGCAGTAGAGAAGGAGATATTCTTGTATCTGTATTTCTGACTGACAAACCCTATGGCAGGACATATGCACGCATTTACCATTTTAAAGAAGAAATCAGGCTTGCTGAAAGCATCAACCTTAGAAGGAAACCCAGAGCTTGAAAGAATGAATATTGTTGTAATGCTCAGGAGCTGACTTGTATTATTACAGATAAACATGGCTGAGAACTGATGGACATGTATTCCATAGACACTGGCATTTTCTTCACAGAAAAGCTGTTTTCTGCTGTGTTGTTTTCTGTCTTGCATAATGCCATATGAACCTCATTACTGCAGTTTGGAGGGTTTTGAACATTCACAGAAAGAAGCACAGGGAGAAGAGCAATAGTCTGATTGATGCAATTTTCACACTGGCCCAGTGGATAATCAGAAGAGCTCTTCTATTACAAGGACATGCAGAAAGCAAAACATTATAAATCCTACCCACAACCCAGCGCCTATGAGAAAGACTAAAAAAACTCCAACAACACCGGCTTTCTTGACAGTCATTGTTAGCAGCTTAATAGCAGCTAGCAGGCAAGATCTGCTCTTATGCCAGGAGTACAAGGCACGCAGCAGTTTGAAAGAAGGGTAGATATGTATGTATAGAAATTACATCTCCCTAAAATGATAAAAAACAAATAGATTAAATGAACCCCTACCTTGGAGAGCCTGGAGTGTACGAGTCTGTACAACAATACAGAGCTGCAGGACCAGCTGTGGTGCACTTTCCAGAAACGTGGCTAGCAAATGCAGCATACTCACATCTGCATACTCATACACCATTTTCCAATAAAACCGCCATCTGTCATTCTCTCCACTCCGTCGGCTCCGGATACCCAAGTATATTGTGTGGAAATACCTAGAAATAAAAGACCAATGTTATAGAAATGTAGAACAGTATTTTACAGGTAATACATCTGCTTGAAAATAGCCAACCTTTTTTTTCCACCGTACTTCAAAATAATGAACATTTATTTGAAAGAATTATCGTACTGCAATTTATAATAGTTGATGTGTTAAGAGCAAACTACACTGAAGACACAACTTGGCTTCATAAAACCATTTACAAAGCTTAGCATTGTCTTATTTGTTAAACAGGACTCCTTTCAAGGACCCAGTTTTCTGAACTGAAATATAAGGGGGATGTGCTGATTATACGGTATCCCTTGGAGTTTTTTCAAACAACGGGGGGAAAAGAGCTGATTCTGCAATGGTCTCTACTGAGAACCTGCAAAGAACTGATCTCCTTTCTGCGTGGCTCTCTATGGACTTGGAAGAGCTTGGAAGACTTGCAAGCCTGGGGTGGTCTTAGCTTGGGGCTCTGCTCTGGCTGAGCTCATTGTCCTGCTTTTCCACCTAATGCATTGAATATTCCAGATGCTGCCAAATATATAGTGCCTTTTCTCATCGTTTGATTATTTTAGGAGGAGAGAAGCTGTAGCTGTGTGTTCCTATTTTAGGCAGAGCGGAGATGTGGCTGTGGGTTCCCTTGGTGATCAGAAGTGACTCACTACGATAGCTCCCCTGCAGCAGCAGCACGGAGAAGCAGGAGCCAGGAGCCCAACAGGCTGCTGCTGCTGGCAGCAGTAACCAGTAGACAGATGAGATGAGTGACGGCCCAAAAGCACGTGTCAGCTCCGGTGGCCTGTGCAAGCCTGGGAGGAAAACCACCTGGTGACCAGCCACTTAAATGGATTTCAATGGGTGCAGGAGCGACGTATGGTTTGGAAAGCAAGGGGGATGTCCTCTGATGGCCAGGCCACCTGGCTGCTGTGATGCTTTCTGTGACCCCTGCAGAGCTTGCAGCGGTCTCCCACGACACACCTGTGTCACAGCACAACGGCCTCTCTAGGTGGCCTTTGATCTGCTCCGTTACTCTGATCTGCTCTCTGTTATTCTGCATCAGAAAGTCTAGGCTTCCACTTTGCTCCTACAATTCCAGTTCAAAACTAACTAAGGCTGGCTGAAAAAACAGACTGACTTAATGAAAAATTATGAAAATTAAGATATTGTCTTGTATCAGGGTGTAAACATCTTCCTGGAATGCCCTGTTGGGCTACTAGCTGATGTGGATTTCTGTTTCTCTTCTTTTTGGATGTACCTTTCACATCCTGGTCCTGAAAGCATTTCCTTATGATCTTTTTAATATGTTTTCACAGCACCTTTTTTTTTTTTAAGTGGTATTATATTTTCTAATAAGAAAAATTTTAGTAAATTTTAATCACTTCCAGTATGAATTGTTTTAACTGGGTAAGATAAAACATCTCAGTATTTCTCCTCCTTTTCACAAGTTCTTGTCTTAAAACCCTTTTCATAACTGGTAGAGCATGGTGAATCGTGGAACCTTTTAGAGGCTGCACGCAACCTTTCACCCCTCTTCTGTTCAGTTGTAACTCTGGAGAGATCTTCTGCCGATGAGAAGATTTTTGGCCTCTGACTGGCAAACAGCCCAAGACTCAGTTGCCTCCTTGCAGAATGACCGCTGTGCTTGTACCCAATGAACTCTTGTACCAAATAAACCCTTGTACGCAGTAAACCCTTGTACCCAGTGAACCCTTGTACCCAACACACATGTCACCGCAGAGCAACAGCTTCACTCAGGAACACGCGTCAACACAAAACTAGGGAGGAGCACAGAGAAACAGCTGAGAAGCCAGATCGGAGCCTGCAGCATTTCTCTTGACAATGCACACCACAGCAATATAAAAGGAAAACACATTAAATCCACATTTAAATTAAAATCACACCAGGTGGCTTTGAATTTTATCAAAGTCCCATGTGGGAGTGAGGCAGCAATGAAGCACTCAGAGACTGAGACCACAGAGGTACAATAAACAAGGCACCAACACTGAGCAGGTCTAGATGGGTCAGAGTATGCTGGGATAACAGGGGCTCTCTGGTGTCCTCAGGGTTAGGTAAAGGGAAATGGCCTGCTGCCCAGATCCGAGGGAAGCCACTGAGCTGGAAAGGCGCCTTTCGCTGCGCAGCTCTGCTAACGGGGTCCGTCGGACCCCCAGGTCCTCCGTCACAATCGGTTTCACTGTTCCTAGACCTCTCACTAGTGCCCTGCAGCACGACACGGCCAGCTAAGACTTGGATTCCCTTCTGCTCTTTGGTGTTCGGGTGGGGTTGGTTTGGCCTGCCCCAGCGAATACAGGACCTGGGAATACTGCACGTAGGGGCAGCACCTTCAGCATCCTTCTGCCATGTCACTAACCCTGGCTCTAAATACCTAAAGTAGCTTTGGCTGCCAAGGGTTGTGCCAGGAGGCTCTAGCTCTGCCAGCGGAGCCATCTGCAACTTCAGTTCTACAGCATTTGTGCAAAAAAATACTCTTCCTATTATGAAAACGACGTGCTGTGCCAGGCAACGTCCCCGAGGGTTCTTTACCTGCTCTGCAGAGTGGTTGTGCATGGCAAATATGTTGTGATTAATGAACCCTTATGGAAATATTTCCTCTCCCATTGCACTTTATTGTGAAACACTGGCAGTGAGTTATTAGGGACTGGGGAATCATTGCTCTTTGTCTACTTAGCTCTCTGCAATTTAGACACAAGAGGCAGAGGAGGAAGACACTTTCTCTTTTTACACACCGGGGACCAAATTTCAGCCTAGGGTTATATTTTTTTTCTGTCCTATCAATTTTTGGCCAAATTAATTGCAGGCTGAAATGAGCATTTACACACATAATCACTGTCACTGATTTATAGGCACAATCAGGTGATTAGACAGCTAAACATTCACATTTGCATCCACAATTAATTGTACCAGCAATTGATGTAAGGTGTGCAAATTAGCAGTTATTAAAGTAAAAAGATGGTCTCATAAAATGCTTCATATATCAAAGACATTTTTTTTTTTCCCATGGTGAAATAGAAAGAAGAAAAAAAGAACAGGGAGAAAGTGCTTTTCTTGTTGTGGTTTCCAAATATAGCTTAACACTGCAGTAATGACACATTCCATTTATATATATATATATATATAAACATATGCACTACGTAATTGCACCTTAGACACCCTCACTGGAGTCCTCTTGTCAGCAAATGCTACACAGACACACTCAGAGGTAGTTCCTGCCCTGAAGAGCTCTTTTATTTTGGTCTTCTGGTATCAGTTTGGTGGAAACTCATATTTTTCTGTGAATCCAGGTTGTGGCTCTTACATACAGTTATTCCAGAAAGATACAGGAAGAAGGAATAACAGGTCTGCATCGGGAAATATCTTAGGTTCATTGTAGGGTAAACGGATGCCAATGAACCTGAAAGAGCAGATGTCCATGTTATTCTTTTGGTTGTGATTGCATCCAGAGGCCCCAGCTACAGCCTTGTGCAGGTGCTGTACAGCTATACAAAACCTGACTATCGATTTCCCCAAAGAGCATTTAACTGACGTGAAAAGAAATGACAAGGAGTGAAGAAGTGAGAGCGAGAGCACCACAGGAGGAAAGGAAAAAAAAAGAGGAATGGGAAGTATGGTAACAATACTGCCATCTAGCAAAGTAACTACCCCACCGAGTAAATCAAGATAGTCCATCAGTTTCTGATTTCACTAGAAAAATAAAAAACAAACAAAAACCTCCCTCCCCTCGCCCCCCCAAAATTCCACAATTTCATAGCTCTCATGTTTGTGGAGAAAAGCTTAGAAGTAACTCAGTTTCCTAAATATTTTACAGTTAGAAAACTATAAAATATACTATGAAAAAGTGATATCAAACCGTATTATTTTAAAATTACTCTTTCCTTTTTTTTTTTTTTTAAGCCAGACCACTGCTTGGGTTGTCAGCTCTGATATAAACAAGCTTACTATTCAGAATGAAGACAATGGAGTAAGAAGCAATACTTCGTGTATTGCTGATGATCACATGGCAACATATATATCATTATTTGAGGCTTAATGTCTTTTTACCCTCTGGAGGAAGTGGGGAATGCTTCAGCATTTAATTATTTTAATTTATTTCAGTACATCACGCAGCACAGTATACAGACCATTGATAAAGCACAACCCTGAAGGATATGAATCTCAGACAAGATCACAAGTGACATTCTTTTTCCATTATATTAATGAGGGAAGGCAGTAAGGTAAAAAACAAACAGAAAAGCAGGTTAGTCCTTGAGCTGCCCACAAGAAGTGGGCAAGCCAAATAGAAGCAAAAAAACCCTCTATATTTGTAGTTGTGGAAAAAAATGTATTTCTGTTCTAGAGAAAGTGACATTCATTCTGATCAGACAGTGGCTCTCCAGTGTTTCCAAAATCAAGAGTCCTCCTTTCGCTCCAGGTTACACGCCAACCTTGTGGATAGTCAGCACAGACTGAGATACCTGCAGTTGAAATACTTCTGGTGACACTTCAGTTACATGATTAAAGCATGCCCAATTGTACATCTAATTGAGATGTGGTAATGTAATTATATGATAATACCAAATATTTATAGGAGTGCTTTCCGAGTTTAAAGTGCTTCACAAACGCTAATTGATTAACTGGGATGAATGTAAATAATCTCACAGGGTTCATTCCTCAGGAATTGGCAGCTGACCAACCTAACACCTTCCTGCAGGAGCATGGTACAGCTTTTACCCAGCAGACTCAACTCCAGGCGAGATTTCACAAGCCCAGGATGGGGATGAGCTGCCCTTTTCTTGTGTGCAGAAAAATCTCACTCCTTTCTCCCTCATTCTTAGGAATGTGATATTCTGTCCCCAGTTTGTAGATAAAAAAACCTTCCCAGCTCTTGCTCCAGTACCAGGTAGACAACGAGGCTCCCAGAATACTTTCCAAACAGGAGGCAATTCCTCAGAGTCAGATATTCTGGAAGAGACAGCTGAGATGCCACGGGCATCTGGGCTAAAGGTTTCCAA